ATATAATCACATATACCTATAGTTTAATTCTCACTTATAATTGAGAACATGCATTATTTAGTTTTCCACCCCTGAGATGCTTCACTTAAGATAAAGTTCCCTCTAAGTTGCTGCAAAATACATTATTTCATTCTTTTTTTATGGCTGAGTAGTACTCCATGGTATATATACAAGGACTGTCCATAAAGTATCCAGCCATATAACCGTTCCCATTATATTATCAATGGCTGGATACTTTCGGGGCATCCCTTCATATATACCATATTTTCTTTATCTATTTATTGGTTGATAGGCACTTAGGTTGATTCCATACCTTTGTGATTATGAATTGTGCTGCAGGTATGTATAAACATATAAATATGCGAGTGCAGGTATCTTTTTGATATAATGATTTCTTTTCCTTTGGGTAGATACCCAGGAGTGGGATTGCTGGACCAAATGGTAGGTCTACTTTTAGCTCTTTGAGAAATCTCCATACTCTTTTCCATAGAGGTTGTACTAATTGACATGCCCACCAACAGTGCATCCACATTCTCTGGCAGAGATTTTAGCCCAAACATTAGTTTGCACAAATACCCATGTGCTTCTGTGCATTGTCTAGCACCCCCTGCAGTTATGTTGAGGCCATGGAACGGAATTCGATCACTGGGATGAGGGTGGGAGTGAGGCACTTACACCCAGGCCTGGTCCTCAGCAATATCCAACAGGTGTTCCCTTTGATCTTTCTCTGCACTAGCGATCTTACAGGCCACCTGCTCCAACGGGCACAGCTACGTGATGGAGAGCTGTCTAACCCTCACTGGATTTTTCATAAGTAAGAAATAAACTTATTTTGTAACGCCACTGTAATTTTAAGGTTATTTGTTAACATAGCGCAGCCCTGGGGTCTTATCTCTTCACCCAGTGGGCTCTCGTATGTGTGTATGAATGGTCATAAGAAAAGTGTTTCCTCTTGGGCAGACGAGGCTGTGGCCTGGGCAGGGTTCTTTTGCAACCAGTGTGTGCAGGACAGACACAATTTCTAGTCCACCCACCAAGTCACTCTGTGGTCTTGGTCCCCTCTCTGTGCCTCTGTTGCTTTATCAGTACAAAGAGAAGCCCCCATTCTCTCTCTCAATCCCACAGGGCCCTTGTGATAATAGATGAAGAAGAGAGTGCTTGGACATGGTTAAAGATACTCTGCAAATATTTGATCTTATTAAGTTGACCTTCCTGCATTTTCTTTTTCTAGGTAGAGAATCGAGAGGAAAGAAATGGGATGTCCCCAGATGATTGACGGGCACTGTCAAGTCCTCTTGGGCTTGCCCTCCCTCATCTCCTGGTGCCAGTGCTGAGCTGAGCCACATTGAGGACAAAGGAGAAGCAGAAACAGTGTGATGGCTCTATTTAGATTTTGATGTTTTGTTCATCATAGATTTTTTGCATTGATTTTGATTTTTAAAAGTATTACATTAAAATATTATTTAATCTTGTTTATTGAGGTTTCTGGCACCACCTTAACTTATTTCCTTGAGCCAACACCTTAGTCACCTCACCTTAGCCCTGGACTCGACTTGCCTACTATCATCCTGTGCTGCCCTCAAAGTGCTATGCATCATTCCTGGGCTCTCCTGTCCCTCTGCATCTGGTCATGCTGCATTTGGTCATCCCCTTTCCTGAAGAGTTTTGCCCATCACTCTCCCACCCCTCCTCTGTCGAAACTGACTGTCAAAGGTCACCTCCTCTGGGAAGCCCTCCATGATCCACCTAATATGTAAATAATCCTGCCCCACACTGGATCCCCATGGCACCTTACCCACACCTTGGGTAAGAGTTTAGTAATTGTTACCTTGTTGGAGGGATAATTATCATTTCATGAGGTTGTGTATTCCTCGTAGACAGGCCTTGTGGTTTTTCTTTTTTTGTTTCATTTTGTATCTCTTGCTTTTCATTTAAAACTCTTAGCACAGTGATGATCCTACTGGCCTCATTGTCTCTTGGTTCCCATAACTGTCAAAGAGAACAATTATTCTATTCATCTCTATCTTCTCTCTTTTCTTTCTGGAATGGAGGCATGTTGAAATTCAATGACTTAACAAAATGTGTATGGATTGGGGGCTCAAAAAATACTATTGTGTCAAAAACGCAGAGAGCTGGCAAAGGTCACGCCAACAAGAAAACCTTGCCAATTTCTCTTCTGGGCAACATCCCAGGCTTTTGTTTTCCCTATGGTTTCATCTGCATATTTAAGAAAAGCAGGGGTGGGAGGAGGCTTAATGAAATACTTGATTCCAGAGTGGGCAAACAGAAGATAGGATGTGCCTTGTGAGGTCTCTGGGTAAGGTGCTCAGTTCGCCCTCTTGGCTGATGTAGATCAAAGCCTTGTGTTCACAAAGTGCTCTTCTTCCAGGACGTGGCCACACTGGAGACAGCAGTAATGAGCATAATTTCTGACATTGTTCTGACTGGAGAAATTAAAGCCACAGACATCTATAATAACTCCTCAAGGGACTGTGCAGAACTGGGGTTCAAGCCTTTTAAGCCCCACTTGGTGGGTACATGGCAGGGCTTTGGGAGCTGGGATGGGGGAGGGAAGCCTTCTCTTCTCCTCTTCAGAGGGACCAGGTTCCTTGTTTGGAACGCACATGAGCAATAATTGCCTTTCCTTAGAGACCACGTTAGCCATTGATCAGAGGGAGACCTCAGGGCTTTTGTAGCAACTATTAGTGTCCTCTCCAAAGGGATTTGTGTTGGAGCGGGAAGCCCATGGGAAGAAGCCATTCCCTCGTGTCTGCTGTCCCAGCCTGGAACTGAACAAAAACCAGGGTGAAAAACACATTCTAATCAGATTTAGCAGATCATGGAAACAGAGTAAAAGGGAGTCCTCGACAGACAGGCGCCAGCTGAAAGGATCTGGAGGATCATAGTGTCCAGGGACTGACTTTCAGAAGGCTAAGGCATTGCTGTCCCCACATTGATCCACACCGTGTGTGGGGGGGGAGGGGGTGGGCAGAAGTGGGGTGGGGGGGGACAGGGAAGGACTTGGCAGGTCCAAGAGCTTGCTCAGCATCACCACTGACTGAGCAGGTGTGGAGGACAACAAGAACCACCCAGATCTCCTGATACCCAGTGGGGCACCTTCTCCCCTACACCCTTAGGATGCTTCTCCAAGCACTAGGGGAGAAATGCCCTTTCGGAGCCTGAGGAAAAATAGTGGACAAAGAGAGTAAAGGACCAGCTGGGCAAAGGTGATGTGGAATTAAGGTGAGGAAACCCACCTGCTTCTTTTGGCTCATGCCCAATTCAGATCACCAGATCCAATTTCTTGTATCATTTTCCCCAATAGATCAGTCCAACACTGGCCTAGCTGCCAAAGTCTTATGCCATAAAGATGATAAAATATCTTCTTTATTCCACTGCACTGCAACTCTGCCAAAAAACTTTCTATCCATTAGCTCAAAATTTTCCATCAGCCTTCCTGTATTAACAGACTGCGGTGCTGCTGGTATTTCTGTTTCTTTACTTATCGGTGGACACTTCTTGAGTAGGGGCTGTTGGAATAGTCACATGATGCATGAATCCTGTTTTAATGTAAATAGAGCTTCTGTGTGCTGTTTTGTTCCTAATGACAATGCCATTTTTTACTAGGTCTGCAACCTGGACCTGTCCCTTACACTCTTCATCTCAGTTTCCTCATCTGTAAAATAAGAATAAGAAAAGTTCCTACCTCCTAAAGAGGTTGTAGGGATTAAATGAGTTAATATATAAATCACTTAGAATAGTGTTTGTCTGTTTTCTATTATTAAGGACAATATTAGTTCTTATAAAATCTATTTATTTTTTGTACACTAAGAGGCTCCAATTAGGACCGCAGCTTTCTGTTAAGTAAGCACATGGTCAGGTTGAGGAGAGAAGTGTAAACCCAAGCATGGCTTATAACTTTTGTGATTAGACATCGGTTTTAGTGAGTTCTTACACTTCAGGCATTTTCTGTTTCTAAACACTTTCGCAAATATAAAAAGAATCACTTGCACGTGTATACAGCACCTTTCCCTTTGCAAGGTGCTTCATATTTTATTTGGTAACTTTATTCCACAAGAAAAAGCCCTTACTATGTGCTGAGCTCCAGGAACATCCTCCGACCAGGAAGGCAGACTCGAGAGAGACTTCCTTCTGGAAGCGCAAGCCTTTGAGCTGAGGTTTGGAGGTAGGGAAGGAGTTGGGAAGGACCTTAGGGATGGGAAGGAGAAGACATTCTAGGCAGAAGGGGTGTCCTGCCGAAAGTGCACGGATGTGAGAGAACTTGGGGGCATGAGGGAAGCCGCTAATAGTCCAGTGCGGCTAGAGAGGAGCGCGGGAGGCTGCCCTGTGGTTGTGGAGGAAGTAGGCAGGGGAGATCTCACAGAGGCCATTCCCAGCATGCCGAGGAGTCTACATAATATCCTAACAGCGATGGGGGCGCCATGGCAGGATGTTTAACAGGAAGATGAGAACGTGATTAAAGTCTTAGGATGATCACTCTGGCCACAGGGAGGAGCAAGAACTGGCAAGAAGCAGATCTGAAGGCAGGGAGAGCAGTTGGTTCCCCGACTGCTGTTTTAATCCAGGCAAGAGATGATGAGGGTTTGAAGTCAGGGAAGAGCCATAGTCGTAGAGAAAAGAGACAGGGTCGGGGGATGGATTGTCTCTCGGCAGGTGAGAGCGCACGCATCCTCGCCTAGTGGAGCCGCATGGAAGATTTGGCTCAGACTTCGATGGCTTAGCCATAGAGGCAGGAGAATACACAATTCTGCCCTGAAAACATTCACCTGTGTCTGTTTCTTGCTACACTGAGCTGACCATGTCACAGAACTTCCTTGAAGGCAGGAGTTAGGATCAGTCGTTTCTGAAGCCCACTTAGCACCTGGTGCATTTTTGTCCATAGCACATGTCAGATAAATGTAAACTAGAGATACAGGTAAATCTTAGGAGCAGCTTCCTAAGCTGCCTCCCATCCTGGCCCTCTCAGGTACCACTGGCTCATGGCAGAGACAAACCTCACCTTGGTGACCGAGTTCGTCCTTATCGCGTTCACCCAGTGCCCGGAGTGGGCACTCCTCCCTCTCTTCCTCCTCTTTCTGTTCATCTATCTCGCCACCTTACTGGGGAACTTGGGGATGATCACCCTGATCCGCATGGATGGCCGGCTCCAGAGCCCGATGTACTTCCTTCTGAGCCACCTCTCCCTCACGGACATCTGCTACTCGTCTGTCACCGTCCCTCAGATGCTGGCCGTGCTGTGGGAGCGGGGGGCAGCCCTGTCCTACTCGCGCTGTGCGGCGCAGTTCTTCCTGTTCACCTTCTTCGGTTCCATCGACTGCTACGTGCTGGCCCTCATGGCCTACGACCGCTACGTGGCCGTGTGCCGGCCCCTGCTCTACGCCAGCATCGTCACGCAGGGGGCCTGTCTGCGCTTCGTGGCTGGGGCTTACCTAGCAGGTCTCTTCAGCGCCCTGGTGCGGACCGTCTCAGCCTTCACGCTCTCCTTCTGCGGAAACAATGAGCTCGACTTCGTTTTCTGTGACCTCCCTCCTCTTTTAAAGGCGGCCTGTGGGGAGAGCTACACCCAGGAAGTGGTGATTATTGTGTTCGCTGTTTTTGTCATCCCTGCATGCATGGCGGTGATCCTAGTGTCCTACCTGTTCATCGTCGTGGCCATTCTGCGGATCCCCTCGGCTGGAGGCCGGGCCAAGACCTTCTCCACCTGCGCCTCCCACCTCACTGCTGTGTCCCTCTTCTTTGGCACCCTCATCTTCATGTACCTGCGAGATAACTCGGGCAGGTCCCCGGAGGAAGATCGGGTGGTGTCTGTGTTCTACACGACAGTGATCCCCATGTTGAACCCCCTCATCTACAGCCTGAGGAACCAGGAAGTGAAGGGGGCCCTGAGAAGAATTCTCGATAGAGTCAGGTTGTTCTAACCATCTCCAAACTTGGAAAATCCTGAGAACCACCTACTCTGTGGTGCCAGCATTCTGGACACTCATTATTTATAGCATGCTCAATGTTTAAATGAATATATTATGGGACAAGGCATAAAAAAGACCCAGAACTTTTGGTCCAGAGAGAGGAAGGAAGAAAAGGAAAATGCAGCCAGAGAAGAGATTGGAGTGAGGACTTCAACTCTTGGGACAAATGATAAAATAATCTGAAATGAAATCTTGTGCAATCCAGATGTGGTACATCTCACTAGTCTGTGATTATAAAACGAGATTACATTTTTTGGCAAAATGTTTAATGAAATTTTTCCATCATATAGAAATGTTTAAAATAATGCATGGTGAACTCCACATACTCAGTACTTAGAATCTGTGGTTGCTAATTTTTTGCTATAGTATATTTACTTCGTTACATAGATATAATCCATCTATTAATTTATTCATCCATCAATTCACCTATCAACTCACCTTAATTTTTGATTCATTTCAAGGTGAGTTGCAGACATCAGCATAGTACCCTTCACTCCTATGCAGTTCAGAATTATATCATCAATTGGAATCAATATTTAGATTAGATTTATGTTTCCTGATCAAATTATGGTCATTTGATGGCCCACTTAGTAAAGCTGACCCTGCTGAAGGTATTCTTCGGATTCTAGTAGGTATCCCAGGGATGCCTCACATGAATCCCTAAACAGTGCCCACAAATGGCTGTCAAAGGTTATCGCCACTGGAAATATGCCCTGTTCTTTCTCCCTTCCCACCTGTTCCAGCTCAACTTGTCATATTGCATGCCTGAAAATCCACTTGGCAGAGTTATGCTATTCCCACTGCCCATAATAGTATTTCCAGTTTCTGTATCATAGAGGTCAACTGTCTGTTCTCAAAGGATTTGTCCTCGGGGAGGCAGAGCATCGCTGCATTCCATGCGGGGCTGGGCAGGAGGGCGTCCTTGCCTATACTGGGTCTCTGTGCTCTGCAACAGCTCAGCCTGCATGCAAAGCCTCAGAAAGTCTGTTGGTTCTTGATCTTCCATAACCACAGGTGCCTTGCCTCCATCAAAGCCAAGGCACTGGAAAGGAACGGGCCCCATCTGCCCATCTTTTTTGTATTTTTTTTTAAAAATTCTATTCCTAAAACTCAAACTTCCTCTTTCCTTGTTTCCTGGATTACCAGAAAACAAGATCTGAGCTGTATGAATGTTGTAAACAATTGTGAGAGGGGAAAGGTGGGGTGAGAGTATCTTACAAACAGGATGTCTCTACACTTAGCCAGCCAAAAATGCTGTGTCACTCACAGAATTCCAGGAACAGGATTTTGAATTGGAAGAAGCAGTTATATGAAGGGTAGAAGATTCAGTGTTCAGAGGGCCAAAGGATATTTCAATTCAAGATCACTTATAGTAAAATGAAAGATATCTGAATATTCAAAGACATTATGTTTATTCTAGAATGCAGAATATTTTAAAAGACACATTATAAGTATTGCAAGAAATATTTTAGCCCTTTCATAATGTTTTCTCTGGATATCAAAATCCAGGCTGAAAATTTATAGCTCCACAAAGGGGATGATTAATAAATAGTTCATGTGTCAATTGTGTTACAGGTGGTATGAAACGTTAAGGAAATGGTTAGAAAGCTTGAATTGGTTATATGAAATTTCTTCCCTGTTGAAAAAGACAATATTGGGTCTGTGCGAATAAGAGCAGTATATTGAAGACTTATTTGCCCTCTTAAAATCTACCAGAAGGCAGAGACAACAGGATGAATGGAAAGGGATTATTAAGAGAATGAGTTGCCAGGTCTAATAAAAAAATTTAATGTTTGTTAATTGAATTCTAAGCAGGAACAGGTACAATGAACACTATTCAGGTGATGGACACACTAATAGCCCTGACTTAAGCATTATAAAAGCTATCAATGTGACAAAAACATATGTACCCCCTTATTATTTTGAAGTAAAAATAATAGAAATAAAAAATTTCTAAGCAAGCGTTTAAAGATTTCTGTTCAAGAAGAGAGGGCTAAATGAAAAGGCTATAGAATTAGTGGCCACGAAGTCCCAAGTCGTATAAGGAATTCCATCTACTTTTTACTCTATAAAGAGAACTCAGGGAAAGTTAAGAAAATGCCTTTCACTTATGTATGGAAGGGGAGTCAGGATTCAATCAGGAAATTTTTAAGAATAGTTGATAATAGGGAGGTTACCCAGTTGTAAATAGGTGTTAGTATTTCCTTACATCTTGCTATACTTTGTATAGAACTCATTCAAGTAAACAACATGTGATTGTTTTGTTTTCAGTAATTTTAATTCTAAATGAGAAATCTTGCTATTTTTGACAACATGGATGAAGCTAAAGGACATTATGCTAAGTGAAATAAAAGAGTCACAGAAGGACAAATACTGATTTCATTTATATGAGATATCAAAATAGTTTAACTCATAGAAGCAGAGAGTAGAATGGAAGTTTCTAGGGACTGGGGAGAGGAAGAAAGGCGGAATTGCTGTTCAATGTGTATAAAGTCTCAGTTATGCAGAATGAATACATTCTAGAGATCGGCTGTGCCACATAGTACCTGTAGTTAACAACATGATACGGTGCACTTTAAAATATGCTAAAAGGATAAAGTGTTCTTACCACCAAAAATCCAACCAACCAACCAACTCCCAAAAACAACAAAAAAGAAAACCCACAAATGAACATAGGAAACATTTTGGATAGATATACGATATACCCTGATTGTGGGGATGGTATTATGAGTATATACATATGTTCAAACTCCTCACAAGGTATACATTGAATAAGTGAATTATTTTTTGTATATAAACTATATCTCAATAAAGCTTAAAAAATCTGCTTTTGGATTTTTGAAAAGCAGGCTATTCAGGCCAGGGAACACCATCTACTGGAAGGTTTTGAACGTGGCTGTAATACCTAAAAGGAGGATAAAAAGGTCTTCTGTAGAGAAACCCTGGACACCCAGCTCAGTGAAGGAATGGCCAGGGTAGCACTCCGCCTGCACCTGCCTGGGCTCACACCCGGAACTCAGCTTGCGCCTCTCATCACCTTTCTCAAGTGTCTGCCACTTGGTGCCCTCCAAGGAGAACTTCACTATCAGCTGTCAAGGAAGGGACTTGTTGGTAGTATGACTGTTCTGCTGGGCCTCAGGAGACCCTGCCACCCTCCTTTGTCCCAGAAAATGACAAAGTTTTCTGGTGACCACACTACTTGGTACAAGAAGTGGAACTAAAAATGCCACAGCCCTTCCAGGGGGCAGTGCAAGTTGGCAGATCCTATAATACGGCATGATTTCCAAAGTGCCAAGAAGGAACCTGAATCCCTCTTAAATTCCTGCTCTTTGTTTCCAATTCCTTTACTTGAAATTAGTCCGCTTGACCTTTTTTAGAGACTGTAGGCCATAATAGAATGTTGGGTGGCAAGTGCCATCAGCCAGCTGTGTGTCCTTCCATGAAATAATTCCCTTGTTCTCTATCTCAGTTTCTCCATCCTCGTAATGGGGTAAAGAGTTGAATAAGAATTCTCAGTCCCTCTCTGGTCTGAGATTCTATCTAGTTGGGCTTTCACCTTGTTAAAGATTTAGATTATTTAAGAAGGGATCTCACATTAGAGGGATCACCAGCCATTTCTTTCCGAAGGGGGCAGTCTCAAAGCTCTCTCCGAGCATGGGATGGAAGTGAGCACTGGAGAACCTGGCAACTGGGAAGTATGGGAATGGCTGGAGACAAACTTTCCACACTTTACATTGGCCCAGGGAGTTCAGGCATAAAGCTTCAAACACCACCAAACAGCCATTGTCTTTCCCGAGCCTTGTTGATGCAGACAGGATGTTAAGCACGACCTGCTTGGGCACCAGTGGCAAATCTGCTTTAGCTCAACCACCAGCTCTGTGCAAGTCCCTGAAGCACAGGTGCAGTGGGAATTTCTCTGATTTTCCTTACCTCAGTGTGGTGAAAATCTATTCTTTTGTGACCCGAGAACAGTATTCTCTCTTATCTTTGAATGTTCCTTTCTTTCCTCTGCCCATATGGATCACACAAGTACTTCCATCTCCCTGTATGTCCCATCTTTCTGGTCCTCACCTATTGGTGACTGATCAACATTGGGCCAATCTTGGTACTCCATCTCTTGGCCAAATACCATCTGAGGTCTTTCTTGGGTTTTTTTTTCCTTTTAATTTGGCAACGGAAAAAGTGATTTTCACCTGCTTTGTGGTGGAAAAGTTAGGACATGTGAAGTGAAGAAACAACCAATGGGCATTTTTCCTACTTTGTGGTGAAAGCAGGTTTAGGAAGAAAATAAAGCTGATATTCAGAAATAATTATGGACAGCAGAGAAATTCCTTATGTTTTGGGATTGATGGTCACAATTGTTCCTGAGACTTAGATACATCCTTGCCTGCCCTCCCCATAGTTTGGAGAATCTTGCAGTGAATTCATCTATTGCTCAAGCCATGCTATATGCTGGGCTTTTGCCACTTACAACTAAGAAGTTCTTGTTATGAAACTTGTTATGAGACTGTAAGTCCTTCCCTCTTTGGGATCTCATTCCCCACATCTGTAAGCTGAAGAGTTGGACTAGATTCCAAAGTTCTTTCTGGCTCCATCCTTCTGGGAAATTCAGATGTGGAGGGTCTGAGAAAACGTGGCAAAACCTCATAAGGGAAGCATGGAAGAAACTTCTCTCAGGACTACACACCTCTGAGAGGGTTTGGAGGATAGGAAGGACAGATATGCATAGAACTTAATTGACATGAATTCACTTGATTGTTGGGTCATCTTTATTTGGGGCCTCTTCTGTACTTGAGAGCAGTAAGAGACCATTGGGTAAAGTGTTAGTTAAACAGTTTGGCCTTAAAAAGTCATAGACTAGGACTCAAATGAACTGATACAACCACTAAATGTATTCCTATTTGGGGACTTCCACCTGCTTCCCTGTGAATTGGAAAGTCTGGATCATTTGCCTTCTAACATCTCCTTTGGTTCCAATATCTTATGAGAGCCTATAAAAATTCTGTAGTTCCAGAATATGTAAAGTGAGGGCAGAAATACCAATGATGAATTGAAAGGGGAAATTTTGCAGCAGGATAAGTCCTTCCAATATCCTTCCAAAGCAAATTTATAAGCACTAGGTGTTCCTCAGCATTGAACTGGCATGAGATCCACTCAAGTCTGGATGGGGAAGATGGATCCCAGGGTGAGATCTGAAGATACGTCCTCTATACATCCTTCTTAGCATCCCCTTCAGGCCACAAATCATGAATTTCTGGTTGTAATAAATGGGTATCCTCCTAAAGTAGTTCAAGAAAAGCTTTTTGAAAGGGTTATTCCTTGCAATAACTCAGATTGGGTCTTCTCCTTATCCTATCAGCTATGACTATAAAAGTGAGGCTACCTGGGGCTAAGGTGGATGGATCCTCAGTCCACCCCTTCACCAGAGGCTGTGAGTGGTACTTCACACCCACAGAAGGAACAAGGGCCTGGCCATGTGCCCTGAGTATTTTCTACCACAATCTACTTACTCTGCAACTTAAGTCTCATCTTTAAGCCAAGTTTCCTTCTTTCTGAAAAACTAGAAGGAAAATACAAACATAGCAGGAAGAACCCCTCAATTACTCCCAAACATTGAGTTCAGAGACTTCCTTTTGGGGGTTTCAGTAGTGTATAGGAATTAGGAATATGAATTTTGGAGCCAGACTGCTTGAGTTTAAACCCTAGCTCTGCTACTTACTGTGGGCACTATTGGTGGTCCACTTCAACTCTCTGCGCCTAAATTTTCTCATGTCCTTAAAATGAGGATAATAGTACCTAACACATAGGATTGTTGCATAGATTAAATGAGCTAATATAGGCCTCTATTTATCTATCTCCCTCTCTATTGTCATCATATCATCATAATCATCTATCCTCTGTCCGTCAGAAGAATGAATTGGCATATAGTAAGCAGCTAAAGTAGTCTTCACTATTATTATCCTGTTGGATTTCCTTTCCAAATTTTGGTGAGATCTGTAGGTCTTAAGAAAAAAATTCTCTTTTCTTTTGCTTCATGTCTCAGTAGTCTCAAGGAAAAAAATCTCTAAACTTCTTTTACTTTGGTTTTATGGGCTCTATACATGAAATTTTGATCTCTACTCTTTAAGGTCCATTTTGCTTCTCTTCTGGGGCTGGCCAAAGGGTGCCTAAACAATCATAATAATCATTCTAATGGTGTCTTTAAAAAACCTTTTAAAAATTTTAATTGATAAATAATAATTGTGTATATTTATGGGGTAAGATGTTTGATCTATGTATACATTGTAGAAAGATTCAATCCACCTAATTAAATAAATCAGTGGTTCAAAATTCACCTGTAGCTTCCTGAAAGCAGGGGTCTGATGGTTGCAGCAGCCTGTTTCACTTGGATATCTGAGGGGCAGTCACTATTTTTATAAAATATTTAATAGAACTGCAGGAGCTCAGCCATCAGACCCACTTTGCAACTGAAGGGAGAGTCTTTCTTTAAAGGACGAGGTGGTTTCCTCTTCCATAACTGCCGAGGGATCCATTTGGAAGGATGTGGTTCCCCCCGGACTCCTTCCTAATTCCTTTCCCAGGAAGAGCTGTTGCTCTTGGGGGAGTTAGTCTGAGAGACTTAAAGGAGCCAGATACTTAGATGAATCATCAGGAGATGCTGCTTCTTAGAATAATTACTATTCTACTATTTGGCATTTGGACAGTTTCTGTGCCTCTTTAGAGCTGGACTGGCTAAGGAGCATGCTTCCCTAGGAACTCTAGTTCTGCAGGATGTGAATGAAAAAGAGGTTCTGTGGTCAAATTCTTTTGGAAATGGTGGGTTAGGGAAAGTTGATTAGGTTTTTAAATTATAAGACTTCATAGATCCTTTAATATGCTGATATGCAATAGGGTTTCCCATGTGAGGAATATAGTATGCAGTGATCTATAAACTTACGAGAAAAGTAAATCTGTTTTCCTCCCTCGAATGTCTACCTAAGATACCTGGAGAAATGTAGGGCTCCTGCAAAGTAGGAGCCTTCTGGTAGTGGTTTTCAAACTTTGCTGCACATTGTAGTAAGTTACCTGGGAATTAGAGCAAATACTGGTGTCTGGCTCCTATACTCAGACGATCTGATTTAACTGTTAAGAGGTATAATTGGGGCCTTGGGATTTTAAAAGTTTCCCAGGTGATTCAAATATGCAGTCAAGTTCGAGTGTCATTGCCCTGGAGTCCTCCTGTCTTGTGCCATCTCTGGACCAGCTCTGTCAACAGAGCACTGACCTGGTCCAAAGTCATTGTTTGACCACTCAGAAGCTTCATAGTCTTCTCTGTATCTAGGGTTTTTTGGTTTTGTTTTTTGTTTTTGTTTGTTTGTTTTAATCTAGAAGGTAGGGAAACATCAAACTCATCCTGCCTCGGGTCTCCTGTGAGGAAGGGAGGCACTTGTGGGACTTGGGAGAAGTCGTGCATATATTTATTATTTTACTTTAGTTTATGGTCAAGCAGGGCTAGAGCTCCAAGGCATTGCCCCCATAATTTTTGGAGATTACCCGGATCAGAATCACCTTGGATCCCTGTTCACAATGCAGATGCCTGCTGTCATGGCAGAAGTACTGTATTTAGATCTGTGGAGGTGGGGCGCTCATATTCACATTCTAAACAAATTCCCTGGATCATTCTTATGCACATTGAAGTTTGAGAGCCAGTGCTCTGGTGTAGGGGTTGGTCACTGTCAAACATTTGCTTGGCTTGCCTGATGGAAGTCTGTTCGCAGTCCGCCCACGCTTGCCACTCTAACATCTTGTCTTGTGACTCCCCACCTGCACTGTTCTCTGCTTCTGCCAAATGGTGAACTTTCAAAGTCACCAATCATAGCATGTTTTGGCTAAGGAAGCCAAAGCTCAGGCTTCTAAAACAGCCTCTTTTGGGGATCAGGTCATAGCTGGCTAGGGTGGCATTATGTAAAACCCCTGACAAAATTCCCAACAGAGATATACAGGAAGACTTCAAAGAATTTCCTTCTGGTACAAGGCAGGAAGAAGGCAAGACTAGGAACCAGCCTCATCAGTCTCTGCTGAGGGATGGTAGGATGTGCGATGGGGGCTTTGGATGTTTGAAATTTAAGAGAGACCTTCAAAGATATTAGGTCCCTTGTTAGGAAGTCCCATGAAGATAAATCGCCTCCCCCTGGAGAGTCCCCTTGGGAACCAATTAGGGCATGACGCTGGGGCAGTGGAAATAAGAAGTGCCACCAGCAAAGTCTAGTGCTAAATCGGGAGCTCAGGGAGACAGAGAGGCTGGTCCACTATTATCTCAGGCCGAGTCTGAAAAAAAATCCCAGGAAGCTCTAGAGTCAGGGATATATTGCTTTGTCACGGTGGGTGGGGAGGACAGAGACTACTAGAAGTGAGAATAAGACACACAGCTACTAGAAGTGACCCCATATCAATCAGCTTGCTCTGGTCACAGACACATGCTGCATTGTGTATTGAAAAGGAACAATGACAAGGTAATTGAAGCCCAGAGAGGAAAAATGACTTGCCCGGGTTCACACATGTGTGAGTGAACTAGAACCGAGGTGTCCTCTGGAATGGCAGGTCACAGGCAGGGAAAACACTAAACAAAAGAGGAGGGCACTAGCAAAGTGGAATTCAGGTTAGGATGGTTCACGCCCAGCTCATGGCTTCCAGATCTACTTTCTTTTCTTTGTTATTATCCCTAATGGGTCAGCTTGGTATTGGCCTGGGTGCTGGTGCATCAAGAGCTCAGATGCTATCAAAGCCCTTCTTTATAGCCTTGTTCTAGAACTCTCCTAAGGATTCCCAGATCCATTAACCCAGATTCCTCCAACAGCACTCAGAAAACACTAGACTATAGAAATATTTCTGCTTCTTCTGTTTCAAATTTGGATGCTGCTTTTTTTTTTTTTTTTTAAATCAAACTAACTGCATTCATTAGGGACTTTGAGAACAACCAAACCATGCTTATAGAGCTTTGTTAGGTGGCTAACGGGGCTCATGTTTGCTCTTTTGATTCCAAGGTTAATGCTAGTGTGTGTTTCTGTGTGTGTGTGTGTGTGTGTGTGTGTGTGTACACCTTTAATAAGCCAGCCAACTCTAATTAGGATAACAGCTGTTTGTTAAACATGCATGTCGTTAGACTGAGAATAGAAATATTCCTACAAGCAGAGCCCATCGCTGATTGCTAATGGATTTTTTTTTGGGCTCTTTTGTTGATGGAATATAAATTTTCCTTCCTTAAAACGTTCATTTAAAAATTTAAATAGCCACTGTGTATGGGGAGTGCTTTTAGAGTTCCAATGCACTTTTGCATCTGTTTTAACCAATGCATTAACCTTATCTCACAAGCAGGGCACATATTATGGTTCTCCTTTGGCAGAGGAGGAAATTGAGGTTCAGAGAGGTTAAGTGCCTTGTGTAGACTCAAACAGCTAATTGGGGACAGAGTTGCAAATACAAGAGCCGTCTTGTAAGTCAGGGAGCCACTTGCTCTCTGTTCTTTCTGTGATGGACGCATCCATCACTTTTTATCTTATATCACGGTGAGCTCTGTATTGTCTGCATCTACCTTAGGCTGCAAAGCCTGTCGAAGTCGAGCGCCTACGCGCCAGACACTGCGTGTAAAGCTTTGCTACTTGAAATCACTTGAACTTCTCTTGAGGGGTCCCCTCGCCAGGCTCTCGTCTGAACCCTCCCAGGTGCATGAACTGCTGCATGGATGGCTGCCAGGAACTACACCCCAGTGACCGAGTTCTTCCTTGTTGCGTTCGCTGAGCATCCCGAGTGGGGGCTTCCTCTCTTCCTGCTGTTTCTGAGTTTCTATCTTGCCACTCTGCTGGGGAACGCGGGGATGATCGTCCTGATCCGCAAAGACCGCCGGCTCCACACCCCGATGTACTTCTTCCTCAGCCACCTCTCCCTGGTGGACATCTGCTACTCCTCTGCCATCGTGCCCCAGCTGCTGGCCGTGCTGTGGGCGCGCGGCGCGCTCATCTCCCGAGGGCGTTGCGCGGCGCAGTTCTTCCTCTTCACCTTCTTTGCTTCCCTGGACTGCTACCTCCTGGCGATCATGGCCTATGACCGCTACGTGGCCGTGTGCCGGCCCCTGCTCTACGCCGCCGTCATGACCGAGAAGGCCCGCTCCGGCTTGGCGGCGGGGGCCTACGTCGCCGGCTTCTCCAGTGCCTTCGTGCGCACGGTCACCGCCTTCACGCTCTCCTTTTGCGGGAACAACGAGATCGACTTCATCTTCTGCGACCTCCCTCCTCTGCTGAAGCTCACTTGCGGGGACAGCTTCACCCAGGAGGTGGTGATCATCGCGTTTGCCGTTTTCGTCATGCCTGCTTGTACCTTGGTGATCTTGGTGTCCTACCTGTTCATCGTTGCGGCCGTCGTGCAGATCCGCTCCGCTGGAGGCCGGGCCAAGACCTTCTCCACCTGCGCCTCCCACCTCACCGCCGTCGCTCTCTTCTTCGGCACCCTCATCTTCATGTACCTGCGCGATAACTCGGGCCAGTCCTCGGAGGGGGACCGAGTGGTGTCTGTGCTCTACACGGTGGTGACCCCAATGCTGAATCCCCTCATCTACAGCCTGAGGAATAAGGAGGTGAAGCAGGCTGTCATGAAATCCCTGAGCAGACCCAGGGCTTCTGGGAGGCCTTAGATGGATCCTTGTGGAATATGTCACTCCTCAGTGTCTCTATCCTTTCTGTCTTTCCTCAGATATCACCTTCTTGGGGAGGCTTTCCTAGACAACTGTACTTAAAATCGCACCCAAACTCTCCACCCCTCCTTCCTGATGTATGATTCTATGTAATGCTTGTCACCGTCTGACATACTAGATGTTCTGTGTGCTCGATATTGTCTAATCCTGACAGCTAGTAAGGGAACAACATGACAGCAAGCTCTTTATCCGTGAGCTTCATTTCTGTATGCCCACTGCCTAGCAAAGCACCTAGCACAGGAGAGGAACTCAATCAACATTTGTTGAATAAATGAATGAATCCTTTAAGTTTCAACTTCTCCAGTTCTCAGTTTTCTTATCTGCCAAGTGCATTTACTTACTTTATAGAACTATGGCTTTGAGGATCCAAGGCATGGATGGACAGGAATCACGTCTGTCTTATTCAGTTGTGCCTGCTGAACCCCCAAGCACATTGGTTGGCACAACAAATACTTGGTAAGTAAAGCAAAAATGCCAGGAAAATTAATGATGAAGCTATTTGCAAATGCAACTGCCGTTTTAATCCAAAGGGATTTTCCAAAGCTCATAATTTATTCTTTTTCTTTGTTTGCCTTCTTGTTCTTTCTGTGGGTTTTAAATAACATTTAATAATAAGAAAAATTATGCAAATAATAATAATAGCAACTAACATTCATTAGGCCTTATTACCGCCCAGGAATTACCGTAAGTTTACTATAGGAATTGATTTAATTTGCTGGACATCCTGATCAGGCATGTTCTATTATCATCTTTGCTTTGTAGGTACATGAGGCACTTCGGGCTTAGAGAGATTGAGTGATTTTCTCAAGGTGAGCAAGCAAGTGGTCGAGTGGGGCTTCCACCTGGAGGTCTGAGCACTTATCTGCCACATACACTGTCTCTAGCTGTCACCTACCACCTTCGGCATATAAGCACTCAAGCCGGAATTTATTGTTATTGCACTTTTCTTTTGCCTTTTATCTGGTGAAGAAAAGGCAAAAGTTCAATCTGTGAAGGAAGCAACATCAGTCAGCAAATTCACTTTATAGCCCCAATGTGCCAGTGTTGTATAGTGTGTGTGTGTAGTTGTGCGTGAGAAAGTGAAGTGTGCACATTAAATAAACAGCAACTTCTGAACTCTAGAAACTTTCAAGTTAAGAAGATGTGATAAATATTTTAGAAAAGAGTTGGCTGGGCATATTTAGAAAAAGATATAGGGGAAAAAATAGCACTGGTGGTCAAGAGATTTGGGTTCACACATCAGCTTTTGTTTGTGTCTTTGCAGAAATCACTTTAAAACTATAGATCAGGGCAAAACAACCCCACAGAGTGGATCTTGGGGGCTGTTTTGCAAATATTAACTGCCGTGAAAATGTTCCCTAACACATCAGCTTCTGGGGTGGATGTTAGACATATTTGTGTTGTAAAAAGAACTCAGGATTTGTCACCAAAATTATACAGTCTGTGACTTCTTTACAGTACGTCTTCAGATTAATTAGTGCTTTTCAGCCTACTTCTGATCTATGAAATAGTACTTACTGAGCGCTTACTGTGGGCCACACTTCACATGAATCTCATTTGCTCTCACAATAACTTGGGACATTCAGAGAATGGGAAGGCATTTGCTAAGTTTTCTAAACATTAACTAGTGCTATGGTTATCATCCAGGCTCCACAGCATGGCGAGTAGTGACAGGCAGAGAAACCCATAGCTTCTCTGTGGGCTTCTTCATTTCAGAACTATCTGGACTAGTCCCTCCTGGTCCAGATTAGCTTTAAATCTGGACGCTTCCAGAAGTGGAGAGTTCACTAATAAGTTTTTAACTTGACTCTTAAGCTAATGCACACTTACCATATGCTAGCTACTATGCTAAAAGCTTTACATGAATCATTTATTTTAGTCCTAACAACTTTAATGGAATGTAATTATTATTGACCCCATTTAGCAAAATAAAAAAAAAAACAACCAAGACCCAAACAGATTATTCGACTTGCCCAAATTATGTAGCAAGAAAGTGGTAGATCACGGTGGTTCTGACCTCAGATCTCTCTTGCTCCAAAGGGCATACCCTTAACTGATATCTGCCCTTACATACACTTTCTTCTCCTTTGCCCAGGCTCCAATTCTTTTTTTAAAAATATTTTTGTAAATGTTTTTATTCTTTTTTTAACAATTTCAATAGATTTAGGGGGTACAGGTTGAATTCTGTTAGATGTATATATCATATAGTGGTGAAGTCTGGCATTTTAGTGTGCCCATCACCTGAATAGTGTACACTGTACCCAATAGGTAATTTACCATCTCTTACCTCTTCTCACTCTCCCTTCTTTTGAGTCTCTGACATCCATTCTTTTGAGTCTCTGACATCCATCATACCACTCTGTGTGCCCTTGCACAGCCAAAGCTTAGCTCCTGCTTATGAGTGAGAACAGGGGGCCTTTATTTTTCTATTCCTGAATCCCTTAGAATAATGGCCTCTAGTTCCATCCATCTTGCTGCAAAAGATATAATTTCATTCTTTCTCATGGCTGAGCAGAACTTCATGGCATACACATTTTCCTTACCCACTCCTCAGTTGATGGGCATGGATTCCACATCTTTGCAATTGTGAACTGTGCTGTGATAAACATACAAGTCCAAGTACCTTTTTGACGTAATGATGTATTTTCCTTTGGGTAGGTACCCACTAGTGGGATTGCAGGATCAAATGGTAGATCTACGTTTAATTCTTTGAGAAACTTCTATGCTCTTTTTCTTAGAGGTTGTACTAATTCACATTCCCACCAACAGTGTGTGTATAAGCATCCCCTTTTCACCACATTCATACCAGGTCCCAAGTCTTGGCTGCATTTTGCTTCAGAAGTGTCTGGGTGTCACCTGCATTCTTAGTCTCAATGTTTTGTGGGCATGGTCTGAGATGGGTGCATCTTATGGACTGACATAAATGTGAAGTCCGTGGAACTCACCTTGACCCTCTTAAAGGTCAATGAGGAGAATTTGGGGGAATTTACAGCTCCTTCAAAAGGAGCAGGATTGGCTCACATGAACTACTGCCTTCCAAAGCCCTTCCAGAATGCCTCTTGGGCCAAGATTTGCTCCACTGCACAGCTAATCAGTATAGTGCCTCTAAGAAGTCACCAAGGTTCCCTTCAGGTCTTCTTTTTCAATCTTAAGTGATCACCTAAAGGAATTCAAGATTCCAAACACTGACCGTTGTTATTTATTACTATTTAATAGCATTTAAAATATTGACTAAGTTACATATGTGTATATATATATAATTTCTTATCTTTGTTATATCTACCTATCATCCTAAACTGTTACTCAGAGGATATGTCTGAAATCCCTTCTAATTTGCTAAGACCTTAAAAAATAGCTTTATTGGGGTTTGACATGCAATAATCTGTACCTATTTAAAGTGTACAATTTGATAGATTTTGACGTGAATATGCTCATGAAACTGCGGCCACCATCAAGATAGGGAACATGCATATCACCCCTAAGTTTCATTACCCCACTATACTTTCTCCTATCTCTACCTCCACACCCCCAGGCAACCACTGGTCTACTTTTTATCATCATAGATTAGTTTGCATTTCTTGGAGTTTCATATATATTTTATGTAAATGGCATCAGGTCTGACTTCTTTCACTTAGTATAATTATTTTGAGAATCATTAACATTGTTGTGCATGCATATCAATAATTCATTCCTTATTATTGCTGAGTATTGCTACACTGTATGGCCACTGCGTTTGTTTATTCATTCATATGTTTATGGGCATTTGGGTTGTTTCCAGTTTTTGGCTATTATAAATAAAGCTGCTGTGAACATTCATGAAAAACCTTGGTATGGATATATACTTTCAGTTCCCTTAGGTAATACCTAAGGGTGGAGTGGCTGAGTCATATGGTAGATATGTTTAACATTTTAGGAAACTGCCAGATTGTTTTCCAAAGTGGTTGTATCACTTCACATCCCTACCGGCAATGCCAACAGTGCATGAGAGTTCTAGTTCCTCCAAATACTTGCCAACGCTTGACATGACCAATCTTTTTTTTTTTTTAATTATGGTAAAAACAGATAACTTGAGACTTGCGTTCTTAACCCTTTGCACTCGGATGTTGAGTGTGACTCGACACGGTTAGCAAAAATTATAGAGATTAAAATTACTCTTTGAATGTATCAATAATTTGAAATATAAAAAAATCCAAATAAATAAGTTTGTATGAAAAGAAACTCCAGCTTTTTATTCTACTGCCTCGCTTTGTAAAATCTAGGGTATTTAAAAAATTAAATCCCAAGTAGAATAAAGGAATCGAGAAAAAAGCAAACGAGTGCAAAGGGTTAAAATTTTAAGAGTTAAGTAAGGCATAGTTAACTATAAGCACATGCTCTCGAGCAGATCTCTAGGTTTATTCATCTTGCATAACTGAAACTTTATACCCATTGAACAACTCCTGGTTTCCCTCCCCTCCACTCCCTAGCAACCACTAGGGGGTGCTTCTATGAGTTTGACTATTTTAGATATGTAATATAGGTGGAATCATGCAGTGTTTGTCCTTCTGTGATTGGCTTATTTCACTTAGCATAATGTTCTCAAGGTTCTTCTATGTGGTTGCATACGGCAGGGTTTCCTTCATTTTTAAGGTTGAATAATATTCCACTGTATGTGTATACCATTATGCCTTGGTATCCACAGGGGATTTGTGCCAGGACTTCCCGTGGCTACCAAAATCTGTGGATGCTCAAGTCCCTGATATAAAATGGTGTGGTATTTGCATATAATGTATGCACAGCCTCCTATTAACTTTGTCATACCTAGATTTAAAAAAAAATTAAAAATTTTAATTATTATGGGTATAAAATAGTTGTATATATTTATAGGGTACATGTGATGTTGGTTAGAGGCATGAAATGAATAATAATCAAATCAGTGTAATTGGGGTATCCATCACCTC